CCCCCCCCCACAAACCCCCCCCCCCCCCCCCCCCCCCCCCCGCCACACAATCCCCCCTGCCCGAGTACCACATCCAACAAACAACCAACGCCACCAAACCGGAGCCACGTGGACGTCGACCGACCCACACATTATCGATTTTAACCGGGCTACAAACCGACCTACCAACAGTAAAGTGCCACGCGTCACTGATTTTCGCGTCGGGAACCAACATTTCGAAAATGCAACGTAGGGTCCAATCTGCAGCCTAGGCCCTACTGCGCAAACTGTTAAAACTCAATTCGCCCCGCCCACACAACGATGTGCCCGCTTCTAGGGCCGGGCTGAACCCGTGAAAGTTGGTACTGGGTTTTTTGTCACACAAACACCGACAGGCTCATACGTGCTTTTGCTTACTGTTGTAGCGTTATAGGGCTGCACAGCAAAAACGCATAAAAACACTTATGTAGATCGATTTCTCATAAAAACTCTGCCTCAGTTCCCAGTTCCTACCTTCAAGTAAGATCTCAGCTCCTTTCCAGTCAGTAACCTGTCCCCTTTCATTTGTTATCATTTCTGAGACCTAAACCACCACCTGCGACTCCCACCTTCCCCTCTTCCCCTCCACCCCTTTCCTCCAGTTATTGCAATTTGCCTTTCAACCTTTCAATAAATGCCTTCAGGTACTACACCAGTTCGCTCCTACACCAGTAATAGAAGGAGTGGATTTTCGAAGATCGAAAATCATCAAATCGTCCGCCAATTCTAAAAATGTCCCTGTTATACCTGTCTTAGTTCCCTTCAAAAACTTAAATTCGCCTCTTCGCTGATCGTTGTCTTCCAGGATATTTCCGATGCGTCATGTTTCGGAAATATCCTGGAAGACATCGACGAATTTAGTTTAAAAGACCAGACTGAGGTTAATTCTCGAAGAACTAAATTCATCCGGATCTTTTAAAAAACTGACCGAACATCTAATCCTAACAATATCCCTGGCATGCCATGTTCCCTCACACCCCGAAAATCCCTAAATTCATCCCAGCCTTTTTTGAAACCTTCAAACCATTTTCTAATTTTAACGATATTCTTAGTATGCCGCACTCTTACTATCCCTAAAATCCTAGACCAACTAATCCCGATCTTAGGGGAATTTCCCATCCATCTTTTGTATTTAAAAATACTTAAGATTTTTCCGCAACTAAAGATATAAAGATATCTTTAGGAATGTCATATCTTCACCCTAAAAAGAAGTGAGCAATTTACAGGAGAAAAATTTATATACATCAGTTTAGAAGAAAAAATCTTTCATCAGTAACATGCAATCTCAATCTCTCTAAAAAACACATATGATGAACGGGAAAAAGCAAGGAATTGCGCACATACAAAAGCAAAAGAAATTTCAAACATTTTGCGACATTTTAATATAAAATATGTTGTTGTAATCGTTGTATTTTGCAATAAAAAAAAAGGCAGGCAGTAAAAAATCCAGAAATAATAGTAGTACCTGTTCTCTATTGTATTTCCGAAAGAAATACATAACTGTGATAGCATTTTTATAGGGCAAAAAAGACAAAATTACGATTAATATATTATTGTTACTCTTAAAAAAAACTCCAACCCAGGCATCACTCACTCACCTTGATCTGAGAGTAGCAACCGACTTTGAGGCTCGTACTGCCTTTTACTTTGCCGAAGTACGCTAAGGCATAAACCATCTTAGCAACTCCAAGCATGGTTGAGGAGTGATAAGTAACAGCCATTAGAAGGCCAAACCAAAAATGGCCGGTTGGAAATGCGCCACTTTCTGACTGGCTAAGCTTGGGTGGTACAAAATAATATCATCCTGACCAGCGGTTGGTAATGCTCTTAATAAACTACTGCTCAGGATTTTTCTAGCTTTAGAAAGATATCTTTTCTATCCAAATTCAGGACGATATCGCGCGCCTCAAAAACACATCTGACAAGGATTTGTAATGGTCAAACTTACAGCACTCGGATGCTTCACAGCTGGTATACTTCGGTTCAAAAAGAGTAAGAATAGCCCTTTTCAAGATTTTACTGCCTAGAAAATCAAGAACAGACTTTGCAAATAAATTCGGTACTTATCTAACAACGAAGGAAATCCTGTGATAATTAAACTTATAGCTTCCGGCTTCGCGGCAATCCCGACACGAGGAAAAAGGCAGATATTTCTCTAAACTCTTCAAAGACAGAATCAAGGATCTCAGGTATCCTAGGCCACGGCAAGCCCAATGGCTCGATAAAAACCAGCAAAACTGTTGCCCTCAGCCTAACCTTAATTTCAACGAAACCCCAATAAAAATTAGAAATGAGGTGCAAACGAGAAAACGAGAGGAGTTGATGAAGAAAATCTATCGCGCAACGTAAAAAAATGATTCCAATATGAAACATATCAAAATGAAAAATTCACAAAACTGTTAAATTCCCAGAAGAGATGGCTTTCTCAGCACATGAGATATGAAAATGTCACATTGTTTATGAAAAACATGTTCCAAAATACTATCTCCCAATCTCCTCCATGCGCATTAGCATATTCCACATGGAATATTAAACTTGAATTTTCCTATTATTCCGTTTTATCTATTTAATTCCAGATGAGGCCTACAGGCTTAATTTCCGGAAGAAATCGAGGAACTCAAAAATAGTCAGTGCACGTAACTGCCTGATCATTAAACAAAATAAAAATTTACAAAATATCAAAACAGTCAACGCGATACAGAGCGATTAATGTGATATAATGTTTCTCAATTTTCAAAAGGCAATTCTCAAAAAAATTTGAAATATCAAAAAATATTCGGACGCAAAAGGAACTGTTCTCTGTGTTTTTTCATGTAATTCTTCACTACTTCTCATCAACAGTGATCTGTTCACGAACAGGCCATTTCACATCGGCTAATGTGCGACTGAGATCATATGTTTCCAGCTGAAAAAAAAAAATTCAATTAGCTCAAACATTTTAAAAAACATTACAGTTTGAAAATCTGCTTTTGAAGAAACGAAACGAACATTGGGAACACAAGCAGCACGGGTGACCACTGCGCAATACAACGTTGCTCAGAGCAACTGGAAAAGTTGTCAGCTACCACAGATGGATCCAAGGGGAGGGAGGAATTGGGTCTTTTGTCACCCTGTCCCTCCCCCTGTCCCCCAAGGCACACGCACCAGTGCTGAAAAAGCCCGGGTCTAAAGCTAAAACTAAAGTAAACTAAAGTAACTCCAAGTAGCAGTCTTACAACTCTATCCCTAGTTTTTGCATAGTTCCAAGGTGGAAGAAAGGGGCTCTTCTCCCCACTTCTCCCCTCTCCCTTCCTTCCCTGCCCCGTCAAGAAGCTCCACTTTTCCTCACCCCCTTGCCCTCCCCTCCCCTTCAGGAGTCCGTCCTGGGCCTGCCTTTGTAAGCCGCATAGCTGAACAACCCAAGCAGTGAGTAGGAGCCATTCGAAATATCAAGTACCGAAACAGAGCGAAGTGTAACTACTAATGTACGAAAAGAGAAAAAAAAGACAAACCACATTTTTCTTTGGTAAATCTGAAGTCCAAATCCGATATCTATCAAGTGGGTATCCCATCGATTCAATAAACACTGTGACATTACGAAGTGGTTCAGCCATTCGAAATCTGAAAAAAAATTTTTCCAATTTCATCCAAAGTTAATTTTAAAATTCTCCCTCTCTATCTAGCAGACCGTTGAAATGAGCAGTACTCTGCCAACAAAGAACGACAGCTAGAAGAAACACCATTCGATGACTCTGGTTTGTTTCGAGGGTTGCTTCAGAAGCATACTGACTTCCGGCAAACATTTTCCTAAAAACATTCCGGCATAAAACATCAACAAAAAGTCTCCCCGGCATCTAGAAATATTATTTCGCTGTGCATCTGCTGCTGCAGTATTTCTAGATTTTGCTGGATCGTTTCAATTATCGAGTACGATTCAATCAAGACTGCTTAGTCAGCGGGGATTTGGTGATTCCAGGTTAGCGATTTTACACTGGAATGCTCATCCCCAAACACAGGGGCCTAGTCAAGCCTGTCCACCTATCACAACATGTATAGGGTTAGAGAAAAAAATGAGCAAAAAACGATGGAAGGGTTCCAAAGAATTAGGTTCGAAGATTGAAAGGGTTCTAAGAATTGTCCGATAGTTTTACCTTCGTGTTCGCATACTTCCATCCGGTAAACGTGCTCGCACCGTTGCAACATTGCTTTCCCCGTTCGGAGGTTCTTCTGGCAAAGATGCAGCTAATTCTTGTAAACGCCTTGTTTTGTCTTGCTCTTCCTTTATTCGACGCTCTTCTTCAGCTCTAAAATTTGAGCACATCACAGAAACAATTATTTGCCTTATTCTGCGAAGAAAACTTATTCAGTCAAAAAATGAATAAAAATTTTAGTTATTTTTTACACGAATGATTCAGCTAAAATTAGCAGCTAAACCAGTGCCCACACACATTCAATTGCGAGAAAGGTCTTGCTATATTTAGAAAGCGTAATTTCTATTTCTCTTGCGTCCAAGACCAAGTGAAATTCCGGAAAGAACTGATTTTTTTGATCACCATTCCTCCGTAGTGTTACAAGATAAAAATTCTGTGAAAAGTGCCGGACCAGTAGCTTTTTTTTCCTCCCTAAATCATAATATAGTCATCTGAATTCGAGCCAGAAATGATCAGCCACCAAACTATGAATTCCAAAATCTAATTCCCGGCTACTCATCCAGTTTTCCAATGTCTTTCTCTTTTTTTCTTTCACTTATCCCTTTTGCAAATTAGTTACATGCCCTATCAATACATGGCGGATAGGAGGCTGTATTGACGATTCCCACTCCTATCCGCATGCATAGTCCGTTTACAGCTAAGAGATGAAACACGGAGACTGCATCATAAAATGTCTTCTTATACATGACACCTAATTCCAATTTTCTTACTCTACTTTTATTATATACAGATTATTCATCTCATATTACAATTTAGCGTATAGGATGTATAGTATTTAACCAAACAAGCCATGCTGTTACATTCATCACAGTTTATAAGCGGGCACTCGAATTTTCAGCAAAATAGTATAGAAAAACCTACATCTGTTCAATTCTCTCACGCTCCAGTTTTTCCTGACGTGCTCTGTCTTCCGCTAACGACCGCTCATATTCTCGGGCTTGCTCCTGTCTGATTTCTTCCCTACAAAATTCACAAAAATTATAAAAAACATACTTTCACTCTATCTGCGCCAAAAAAAAAAACTTGTCAGTTTCAATCCATTATCTTTTTAAGTTACAATCGGCAAGGAACCTCAGCATGGTCCAGTAATGACAACGATCGAAATGAAATAGTGTTGCTCTACACACATGAATGGCGTCTTGGAATCGCTAAAGCTCCTCTCAGTGCTTCTGTAGTAAGAATAATTACGCTAAGCAATCCCTCGAGGGGGGGAGGGGTGGCGCAACGGAAGTTAGGATCGCCCACTG